GGTGTCATGCTATGGCTTCAGAGATGTGAACTCAAGCTGCGCTCTAGATATGAATGCTGAAGGCTTCCCTCCTTCCTGCTTCCTCAACTCTAAATGGATATCTAATTTTTTCAGGCTAGGGAGTCAAAAGTGGCTGTATATGATCCTAGCCACATCATGGCCTCGAGTGCCTTCACCATGCTAGGCCTAAGAGGGCATGTGATGTTTTCACACAAAGCAAAATTCTCTCCTGTATAGAGGACCACTATAAGGGCTATATATATCTCACATTAGTGATATAGAATGTGTAACAAGATAAAACTGACATAAGATTAAGCCTGGCAGATAAAAAAACAAAAACTATGCATTTCAAATTTGGATTCTTTATAAAGTTATTTAAAATGAAAAGCCATCCCCACTTTGGCAATGACCATGGCATTGCTATGAAAAATGAACACTCAGTTGCCATGTGAACAGGTTACATCCTGACCGGGCTAGCAAATACTTCAGTGAAACACAGCATAACTGCTTCACACATGCTACCCCTTGAGTCAGGTGTAAGATTGCCAACTGAGAGCATTACTTTGTAATTTTTCGCTTCATTGCTGAAGTTTTTCTTGGATGTTTGTCCATGTAAACATGCACAATGTCACAAACATCTCCCTGTTTTAAAAGCCCAGAATGTCTGGAGTGACAGAATATCATACAACTTGTTCAAACAGCTTCACAACAGCTCAAACCATTCAGCTGGCTGTGTCCCAGCCTTGTTCTCTCAGCCATGTTCTGATGCATGTCTAGCTACCCAGAGGCAGGTCCTGCTTTGGAACACAGAGCCAGCAGGGAAGTCAGCAGGTGACAGGGTACCTGAAGGAAACCTCAAGGCTGGACAGCATGGCTAGTTAAAATAATTTACCAATTTTGTATTTTTCAATCCATCACGATTTTAAAGATAAATATTAAGTGCAAGTTCCTCATTTTCCAGTGTCTATCAAAATATGTATATGGGATTCCTACTTCTGCACAGCAAAACAGAAAATAATCTAAATGTAAAATCAGCATTATGCCTGCATAAACTTCTAAGTGAATGAGGGTCTAGAGCCTAATTATCTAGCTTCCTGGAGAAATGCCCTAATCATTCAATTACGGGGGCTAAAATAAAGTAGGGACCTTTGCCTCACTCTAATATCCATTATTTGTGGGTTTCTGGCTGGCTGTGTGTTGGGGACTTAAGCACAGGTATGTATCTACAATAGGCATGTGTATGTAGCTCTGTAACCACCTAGCCAATGCACAGCCTACTGCACCTGTTTATATGTCCACAATGCATGGGAAGTTGAATTGCTACCTTCACTTATGTCCAAAAAACTACCATACAGATGCACAAAGGGAAGCAGTATTCCATCCTGAATTTTTTAAGTAGACTCAGAAATATTTAGCATTCGAGAATCTTCCAACAGGAGCACATATTCATTCCTGATATTAAAATATTGGGCCAGTTCTTTGCTGAACAGCACAGATTAGAACAAAGGATCATATAAAATGCGACACCTAGAAAGACTATCTTGGTGATTGGACAGGGGATGAGGAAAAGAGTAGATAGTAGAACATGAAGCTTAGGGCATTGACTAACTCTGCCTTTAGGCCAGTAGAAGTTCACATTTATTCCATGAAGTTGGGGCTCACTTTCAGGAATTTTAACATAAATAACAAGAAAAACAATATGGGAAAAGCAAAAACAAAAACAAATAAAAAAGCCAGAAAGCCATAGATCAAAATAGTATAAAGTATTTGGAAATCAAAGGGCATTTAAGGGTAAGCAGCATAAATATAGGAGAACAAATTAGTGTCACATGTAATAATTCTTAATAATTATGAGCTCATACTTCAGCTGTGGTTTGCTGGATTAAAGCTGATATAGTATAAAATCCTGCAGAGGGGAAAGAGAAAAATCAAAAAAGCATTACTATACTAATCCCAAATTAAATTACCAGGTGGGAGTTTACAGCATGGAAAGCTCTATTTAATGATTTTTCTGGCATAATGTTCCCAACTGGTCAACTCTTTATTTCAGCACTACATAAAAACACTATTAGTTTGGGTGCGGAAAAGAAGTGTGAAAGCTGGCAGCATCTCTTCCCTGCCTCACACCATCCACCAGAAGTTTTTTCAAAAATGTTTGCAGCAGGTAAGAATGAGAAGAGGCCATGATGCTTAAAAATAAATAGGAGAAAAGCAGCAGTCAGCTGTGTCAGTCTGAAGTCAAGCAGAACACAGGACAGGGTGGCACTTTAAGGGCACTTACATGCAAGGAGCCTCCTTCAATGTGCTGGAAATCCAGTGTGTTGGAGCAGACTCGATTAATCAAGTCTGCTGGAGCATGTAAATTGATGCACTCTGGCAGACTTGTGTGCCACGTGTATCAGTGGCACAGCATGGCTCCACACTGAGAAAATGGCAATGGTGCACTTTGAACTAAAATGTGTTCAATGCGCTTTAGTTTAAAGTGCACCGCTGCCATTTTCTCAGCATGGAGGCACACTGCGCCGCTGATACATGTGCTCCCAATGTAGTGCTGGGTGCTTTTAATTAGAGCAGCTCGCTAACTAAAAGCACCGGGCACTAGGTCAGGGGCACATGTAAAAATGCTCTTAGGGACTAACTGGTTCAGGAAGCTTCCACAGGTAACAACCTACTTTGTCAGACACTATGAAACTGTCATAGCACTGATGAGGTAGGTTGTTGCCTATGAAAGCTCATGGCTTTATGAACTGGATAGTTTTTAAGTTGTCACCCTGCTCTACATTCTGCTGGAACTAAATAGGAAATAATTTCTTCAGCCACAGCCATCCAAAAATAAATTCTTTACAGATGGACACATATACTGACACCAACCCCCTTCACCCCCCACTAAGCAAGCAAGGTTTACTCTGAGAAGCAGAAAAATGTGAGAGAATATTACATCTTGTTTAATTGATTGACAGTTATATACACATTATGGTTATGGGTAGTAGATATATTTGCATATTTGATCACATTCCCATTAAAATCAATGGATAATCTTCTTTGCCTTTGAGAAGAGCACAATTTATTCCTGGCAAAATCACTGATGCAGTGGAATTCTATTAGGGTGAATTTGGAACTATGAGTAAAATTCACCACTCTGAGGGTCAGCTCCAGGCCAGTGTATCACTTCAGTTGCATATGAGTCCTATTTGAGAACTTGGGCTGAATTTCACCTTATATGATCAACTAAATTCCACAGCTGCAAAACAGGCATGTGGGATTCATTTTATAAAGAGCAAGGGTGTTCTCTTAAGAGTTAGGAACTTCATACTCTCAGCTCAGTTTTCAGTGCATGTAAACTCTTGTACCCTGTGTCTATTGCACATATGTTAAAAGAGCATACATTACAGTTAGGAACACAGAATTGGAAAGGATCTCTTGATTGCTTGAGTCCAGTCTTATGCTCTTGCAGGCACCCATAATCTTTCATAAATTAATCAAGCACCATCTAAAACAGTGGTTCTCAACATTTTTAGAGGCAAAGCACCCCTTGATATACTCAGGACTCCTGTCACGGGACTCGAAACGCTCCTTGCAAAATGTCGACTCTTCGTTTTTGCTTGATTTTTGACTACAGAAAAATAATGAAGCAATTCTTCTGTCGCAAAGAACTCAGAAAGACCATGGCAGGTCAGGGTGTTTTTAACATGGATTCCTTTCTGAAATTTCTGGGTTTACCTTGTGAATCATTTTTGCACACCTACAGTGCTAACATGGTACGGCAGCCTGTAGCATCCTTGAAAGGATCTCAAGGCATCCCAGGGGCACCCCATGTGGCACCCTGGTTGAGAATCAGAGATCTAAAAACTAGTTGGTGATTTGCCCCATTACTCTTAATGGGAAAGATATTGCAGAACCACACTGGTTAGAAACCTTTTTCTGTTTTCCAGATGAAGTCTGTTCATGGACAGTTTATACCCACCTGTTCTTTGGTCAATATTGTCACCTAGCTTCAATAGTTCTTTCCCTGCCCTGGTATTTTGCTTTCTAATATATTTATTGAAAGAAGCCGTATCCCTTCTCACCCCTAATTTTCCTAGGCTAAATAAACCAAGTTCTTTTAACCTCATCTTGTAAAACAGGCTTTCCATTCTCTTGCTCATCCTGGCAGTCCTTCTATACACCTGTTCCAGCTCAGCATCTTTCTTGATCACAGGTAAGTAGAATTGTACACAATATTCCAGATAACGTCTCACCAGAGATGTGCTGAATGGCACTAATATTTCCTTATCTTTGCTAAAAATACTTCTAATATATCCTAGGATCACATTTGGCTTTTTCATGGCCACACCACATTGGTGACTCACACGCATCCGGTGACTGACTTTTTTCCGTAAAGAACATATCATATAATTATATATAGTACAATAATATATAGTTTGCATTTGTTGTTTCTATTTCTTTTCAAATTATACTTTGCAATTCAATCTGCTTTATAGACAGGCAGTATTAATATATTCCTTACTCAGGAAAAGCTTCAAAACTGCATGTCATGCTTAGGTCAGAAGTTCCTAGAAATTCTCTGTATTCCTGAGCTGAAACATTTCCCACAGTACATAAAAATCCCCCACTTTATTTGCTTATTTCTGATTCTCACTTTTCACAATTTCTTTCAGCTGTAATTGAAATTACTAAACCTTTTGTGTAGAACTTGCATTATACAAATACAATAAACCACTGATCCTGAATTAATGGCAAAGCTTCTGATGATTTCCATGTCGGCAGGATCAGAACCTGAGAAATTAAGTCTCACTACTTTTTACAACATGATCACACCCTTATTTAAAGAGTGTGGAATTCAAGTTTTTACTGTACGACTTCAATCAATAGCAAACAAACCTAGCTACATCCAAGTCTTTTTGCTTTTAGCTGTGAGCAAAAATATTCTTTTCCAAGTTATTGTAGTGAACAAACAAAACGCTGGAACATAGGAAGCAAAATTTATCTATTATTCTGACCTTGAAGCTGGCGTCCCTTGTACAAATCCTTTGTTTTGGTTGGATGTGCTCTGGCAGTGTTATCACACTGAGGTTGTTCATACCTGCAGGGCAAACAGAGAGAAAAGATAAAAGGAAGTGAAGTCAACTTAATTGAAAATTCTCTTTCTCTCAAACCCTTTATGGTCACACTGAAATTATATCTCTTTTACTCAGGGTGGCTACATAAGTTTGTCCTTAATACACTCATACTCAAAAATGAACAAATACAAAACAATATGCATTTTTTTTCAAAGATGTCAAACCTTATTGCAACCATTAACAAATTAAGCAACAGGAAAGCATTCCTGAGCACACTGTACAGAGATAATAACCAAGGAACAAGGAAACTGAAAAAAAATGTTGAAAAACCAATAAAAAAAGATATCAAAAATTAGATTCCTCCCACCTAACAAAATTTTGAGGTAAAAAGCTATAATAAACCATGTAACATTGCAGGCATGAAGCTCTTGACAAACAACCCCACCCAAACTGATACTGTATTGAATTAATATTACAGTACCAAAATTGTAAGTTACTGTATCATTGCTGGAACAAATATTAGCTTATGTAAGAAAGTCTAACCACTAACAACTAACATTTTGACCACAGCAAAAGCTGGATGGGGATTCTGGAGAAGCAGGAGACAGATGGTTTGAACTGGGGAGTGGAACAGACCAAGCCTTCATGGGTTGCTTGATTCATTCAAGTCACTATCTTTATTCTTTGCTTCTTTCTACCTACAAACAGACGCTGTCTTTGTCGCGGGATCAACTGTGCCAGAATGTTTCTCAGCACAGCTGATCAGGTTGATTAACAGGTAAAGAAGTTGCCTAGGGCCATTTTCCCACAGGATCATGCCCCTGCCACTCCTGGGTGTTCAGCAGTTTGAACCTGCAGAACAATGGCTCCAGATACCATGCCCTGATCTGGGGAACCCTATGGGGGTCCTTTGATCTGCACTATGAAACGCACACCCTGAAGTTGCCTGCTCAAGGCAGCTGGAGATCGTGGACAGCCCTGAGCTGTGGGGATCACACCATTAGTGAACATGGTCTTCACAATAAGGTGCAATGAACTTTTAGCAGGCATCTTTGTGCAAACATTTTTGGGCACCTTGGGCATGACAAGGGGAAAGGATGTCTGTTTGTTTGCGTTCAATGCTGCCATCAATTTTTTTCTGGTGCAGCAAGGGCAGTGTCTGTTTCCAGCCTGTAAGAAATATAATTAAGCCACATCTGTTAGTCACAACTGGTAACAAGAAGCCCTGCTTTGCTTGCATCTCTGCTACAAGTAGCTCTAGCCAACGACACTGACTGCTCTATACCTCCCACTCTCTCCCATAAGGGATGCCATCTGCAAGATAATCTATTTGGTATCTAGCAACATAATCTCTAATGTTAATTGCAATGTAAGGTATATTTTGTTACCTCCTGCTTTTATTGTCAAACTATTGGCACAGTCACAGTACACGTGGCCTGCACTGTAGGGTATATGTTGATGTTTTGGATGCCAAGAATATTTTGACCAACTATATAGCTGGAAGAGCTGTTAGACAAGCTTTTGAGCAACAATACTCCCCCTCATTTGTGCCCCCAAACTTGTCTAACAGCTCTCTTTCAGGTCCAATAAAAGATATTACCAAACAAATCTTGGTTTTTGCATATTCTCTGAATCATCGCAACTGCAACAGCACTGCAACAGTACTACACAGTAATCAATTATTAGCAAAACTACTCCCAGTAAATCCCTTCCAGGTTTTGCACTCAGGCCAGATTAGGGAGTCATGCTGTGACAATCTTCATCCAACACAGTTATGATCAACAATGAATCCACTATATGAATCTTACTATTGAGTCTTGGGCTAGGCACAAACATTACACATAAACCAGTTTAAGTGATCAGAACAGGTTAATTAGGTTGGCTAAGAGATAAATCTAATTAACTGACAGGCAGTATTGTGTGGCTGTAACTATGCTACTAGAGGGATCATATACAGAGCTAGCTAAGGTACCTCTGCAGCATACCTGATTAAAGGAAAGCTTGGCTCCGGGGCTGTGCTAAAAGCAAGGTGAGGGTGGAGGAAGATGGGAGCCATAGGGATGGGGTGACTGGAAGATCAAAAGCTCTGAAAACCAGTGACTTAGTAGAGTTTATTATGCTGGGAGCCATTTACAGGCCAAATTAGCCCAGGACCAACAGAGCAGAATGCCACCCTCTCAATCCTCCATTCCCAGCTGTATTGAATTAAACCAGGCATAGTGAGGGACTGAGCACACCTGACTTAATCACTTCTCTCCTTAACTCTTCCTAAGAGATATTTACATTCTTAAATCCTTACATTCAGTCTAAAGGCCTGCCTGGGGGCAACCTCTCAAGATTCTTAACCAAAACTCTGGGATAACTGAAGAAATACATAACATAATTCTGCATTATCCCTTTTGATCCTCCTTTTAGTTTCTTAATATTTTACACCTGCTTGCACTTACTTTGCCCAGGTATACATTACAGAACAGGGGACATAGTAATCAATCATTAGCAAAACTACTCCCAATAAATCCCTTCCAGGTTTTGCACTCAGGCCAGATTAGGGAGTCGTGCTGTGACAATATTCATCCAACACAGTTATGATCAACAATGAATCCACTATATGAATCTTACTATTGAATCTTGGGCTAGGCACAAGCATTACACATAAACCAGTTTAAGTGATCAGAAACTGGTTTAAATCTGTAACAGAACAGATGTTTAGTGCACATAAACCAGTCTGGAAATGGCTGAAACCAGTTATAGATAAACCTGGTTGAATGTAGTATCTGAGTTAACTGGTTTGGGTCAAACTGGTTTATGCACTGTCTGTCTCAGACCCCTTGCTAGTTTAAAATAAATCAGACTCTCCCAGCATCCCAGCATGCTCTCTGATCCACAGGGCTGGCCCCTCCCCTCTGCCCCCTGGATGCAGCTCCAGCAGCAACTGCAGGCTGTTCAGCCCTCTGCCCCTCACCACCTGCTGCTAAGCAGTAATTCCCCCCTCCCCTCTGCCTTGTGGAGAGGTGTCTGTGGATTAGCTATCAGACCACATGCTGGCTAGGGTCCCTGCTGAATCAACAGGCAAAATCAACAGGTAGCTGGTAATATCCCTGTGTTGTTTTCTTAACGGGGTGATAAACACTGAGTTAGGGGTGATAAACCCTCTTATCAATTCCCTGCTGGGCTAAAGGAGCCTGGCCATGAACTGTCCCCCCACCCCTTCAGTTTAGTGTTATGCAAGGAAAGGAAGGGCTGCTCTAGCACCCCCCGACTTCTAGCCTGAGCCACTGCAGGCATGTGCTTGCATTTCTGGGATGTCTGTCTAGTTACAAAACTGATTTAGCCTAGCCAGGTTAGACTAACCTGCAAAGATTGAATCAATTCAGGCCCAGGCTTTTTGAATGTCTGTCCCTAGCCTTGATGTCTATGTTTGAGAAGCAATGAGGACCTGTGTAGGAATACACCCAGTCAGTGAAATACTAAACAAGGAAAGAATTTCTACTGGGAAAGCTACATGTGCTGGGGGTGCATAACCATATGTTTGGGTCTACAAATCTGACCAGATACCCTGCAAGAATTGAATATTCAAACTTTGTGCTGTTGTTACCTTTTGGTTTGAAGGAAAGGTTGGCTATACTGTGGACTTCACAAAAAAAGTTACTTTATTTGCAGCTTCATAGGATATATATTCCTAGCAGAGCATTCTTTAGGCTTCAGTTACAGTTGCCTGTTTTTTGCATAACAAAACTGGCCTGCATCTCTGTTGCCTTGCACATTGTATAGTTAATTATACATGTGGAAAGTGGACAGTAAAGCACTAATAATACAAAATACTTGCATTTTACATATCTTTTGGATTGGGATACAAATTTGCAAATTGCAAGGCAAAGGAAAATCAGGTCTTCTGCCTCTCTGCTTTAAGAATGTGATTTCATCACTGTAATATATTTTCATTAAAGATGAAACACAGCCAAGAAGTTCATCCATAGGCTTTACATAAACTGATCTTTCTCTTCTTCTCTCTCACCACGCTTTAACTGTTTAAGTGCCCTTGAAATTGTAACAAGTAAAAGCTCACTTATACTTATCACACTACATCTACCTTGTTCATATGCTCTCCCTGAAAGCATCTTGTGCTGCCACTGTTGGAGACAAAATACAGAACCAGATGCCATGGACTATTGGTCTGACCCAGTACAGCACTTTTTATATTCTTATGTTCTTACACAGTGTAAGAAAATGGGGTTCTGAGCATGACATTGGCTGTAGATTTTGTACTGATATCAGATTTGATTCACTACAAGTTACTGTGAGATTTAGAATCTCTTCAAAAATGACAATTCAAGAAATGTGAGCTGAGACAAAAAAGATGGTTCCTTTACTGCTGAGTTTTTACTAATTAATCAGGTGGAATGATGCCTGGCAGACAGTAACAATGCAAGCTCCCCTGGGACCAAAATTTCTCCAACAGTTTAAAAAGCCAGCTTTTCACAAACATGCAGTACATATGGAAGGTGGCTTCAGATCTATGCGGTGTAATATAGCACACAAAAAATGAACACTGCCTATTTGGTGATACTGTTACAACTGCTTAGCTTCCCACTTGTATTGGTTTTCATAGGTGGCTTAAAAGGGGATGAAGGGTGATAGGGACTATACCAACGCAATCTAGTCTAATGATTTCATTTTAGGCATTCAACAGTTTGCTTCTCATGCAAATTCTACTAAAATCAAATCATTCTGACGTCAAAGGATTCTGGCTTGTTTTATTACAAAACTGCATAAGCATATCTGATGGAAGGCAGTAACTTTTGCCTTTAACTAAACCCAAATGATTATTTATTTGAGCTCATAAGAATTTGGTAAAACATTTCTCCATGTTGTTTTATTTCCTAGAAATCACTAGAATTTACTGTATTTTTTCACATACCACACACGCCAAAATAAGCTGGCACTTTGTTTTTGGAAGGTAGAACATGGACAAAGAGATTTTTTTCGAGAGTCATGGTTGACTCCTCCATGGTTGTGCTCTAGG